GTAACACGATGGAAACAGCCCTTGTCCCTGATACCACAGAGCTGCATCCTGGCCCCAGACCACACACCCAGTCTTTTATGTGCAAGAGAAATGAACTTCCATCATGTTTCTGTGACTGTTTTTCGTATAACTTCGTATAATGTATGCTATACGAAGTTATTACGATTTGAGTTATGGCCTCAGTCATCACTGGGAACTGCTTTGCAACTCGCTCACTGGTCAGCAGGGAGAAAAATGAGTCCACAGGCACGGAGGTCTTTGACTAAGAATTGGGGAGAGGAGAAGAGCAATCATTAAGAGTAAGAACCACTCAGGACCAACAGAAAAAAATCCTCATTCCTGGCCTCCTCCTGCTATCTGGTTGTAAGAGCCAGGCCACTGGCTTGCTGCCTAAAGGGACTGTCTCCCTCAGTCCCTGTGCTAAGCTATGCATATAATAAGGTTTTAAAGAGCAACTCTAAAGTAGAGTTACAATGATTAGGAACTGGAGCTATTTATATCAATATTGCAATCAAATGAGCTCCTTACTCCACTCATGTATTGCCAATTGAAAAAAAGAAATTCAGAACATCAGAAGAGGATATATTAACCTCTAAAAGTGTATTAAGAAGATGTAATTTAATTTCTAATGATCCAGAAGGCATTTAATGATTTTATATTGCTTCCGCATCACCATTACAAACTTAGTTTCTGATAAATTTTTTTGTTTTTAAATTCAATCTGTGTGGGTTTTGAAAGCTCTTTTTTTTTTTTAATCATGTTTCAAAATCTGCAAAGGCAGGTCTGCTATTTTATATATACATATATATCCACACACATATTTTATAACAGCTTTATTGAAATATAATTCACATACCATACCATTCACCTATTTAAAGTGTATAATTCAATGGTGTATAATATATTCACAAAGTTGAGCAACCATCACCACAATTAATTTTAGAACATTTTCATTACCCTAAAGAGAAATCCATATCAATTAGCAGTCACTGCCCATTTCCTCCCAACATCTCTAGTCCTACAAAATTATTAATCTACTTTCTGCCTCTGTAGATTTGCCAATTCTGGACATTTCATATAAATGGAATCATACAATATGTGGTCTTTTTTGACAGGCTTCTTTCACTTAGCATAATGCTCTCAAGGTTTCCTACTTTTTATTTATATATGCATATTTTTAAATTGTGGAAAATATACATAATTTGCCATTTTAACCGTTTTTAATGTACAGTTCAATGACATTAAGTACAGCCATATTGTTGTACAACCGTCCATTCACAGAACTTTTCTTACTATTATATTTTCAATTATATTTTAGTAGAGCTATTGCAAAGGTTAATATAAAGAGTTTGGAACAATGCACAGTATAGAGAAAATGCTCAATAAAGTATTATTATTGCTTTAAAAAAGCT